TATTATTATTATTATTATTATTATTATTATTGTTTATTGTTTATTGTGCAAAGACGCTTATCAGGGGTAGAATGTCAATCAAGGCCGTTGAAAATTTGATTTTTTTAAATATTTTCTTTACTAGTTATTAATGTTATAGTTCATTCGGTTGTCATACTCTGTTTTTATGTATTAATCATCTGTTTTTTGTCTTAGTGGCGTTTACTTTCTAGTGCTGCTCCATCTTGACTTTGATATTGCAAAGGAAGCAGGCAGTATGAAAGATGTCGAGAAAGTCAAGGATAAGTTGAAATACATTAGTACGTATTTGCGAACGCGAATAACAACATCAGGCAAACGCGAAGGATGGTTAAGTCCAAAACTCCAAATTAATGATACGATAATATTTGAGGTAACTATAATACTAAACGTCATTCTAAAGATTACTAAGCTAGGCTCAGGTCAAACGTCGAACTTCAAATGAATCGAACCTTATAGAAACAATGGATAACGAGGCGGTCTTCTTTGATGTCATTAGGTTCGGCTCATGTGAAATTCGTTTGACATGAGGGTTCGGAAAAATTCGAACTGAATCGAATTATGTTTATCTATCTCCTATCCACAATTCATACATACATTTACTGTATAAATACATGTAATCTGTGATACATGAGTGCCTTTAAACACCCATTGTTACTAAATAGTCATGAAACAATAGAAAACAATGTATATTGCAATTCGTACCATGGGAATTTAGTTTTGTGTTAAGTGTAGTGTTTACACTTTATTATCTAAGTATAACAGCTTTATGTAGTGTTTAAAAAACGAGTAGGAGTGTTTTATCAGGTATAAAAGCACGAGGCGTAGCCGAGTGCTTTTATACCTGATAAAACACGATCTACGTGTTTTTTGAACTGCTTAAAACACTTATGAACAATTTATAAGATTTTGTTTCAACTGGAGCCACCATACACGTCACGAACATGGATTTTTATACTTCCATAGAGATTTGACGTCAAGGGCATGCGCAACCAGATTCAATAGAAGCTCCCACACGTTGGATATTGCGTGCCAAGGCAAAGACAGTCACGTTAGTCAAAGATCTTTAGGGTTGACTATGACCTTGATGAAGCTCTATGTCTTCATCTAAACTTGGATGCATACTTCATCCCTGATGAAGTCATCCTCATAGTATTCGAGTGGTCTTTATATAAAGATCACATGTGTCTTTATATAAAGACACATGTGTCTCCATATAAAATCACTTGAATACTAATGAAGAGGACTTTATCGGGTATAAAGGTTCATGCACGTGACGTGTATGGTGGCTCCAATTGGACCATAAGCTTATGAATTATTAATGAGTGTTTTAATTGGTTATATTATATTTAGGATAGCAGTTGCGCTCTGATTGGTCGAGAACTATGCTTTAATAGTGAACGGAGCACAGGTTCATGCCATCCGCAGCTATCCGCGTGCGCAATATGTGTTGCTAGATCCTGCGACCGTCTTTTGTGTGTGTGTGTGTTAGTAGCTATATAATTAAACGGATAAAACATCTTTTTCTTTTTCAAGAATTGTTCTTACACTTCTTTCTATGTGTTTGTTTTCAAACAGAACCTTCCAGAAACGGAAGCTCATCGAATAGAAGATGTTTTAAAATACAGGACCCATTATGTGGCAGCTTTTCTTCACCAGAACGATGGAATTTCCAAGAAAAATCTTGACGTACTTTCTATATTGTCTTACGTTGGCTGTGGTCTTTCACTATTTGGACTATCTCTGACTATTATCACCATCATGTTTTCAAGGTAATGTTAGGTTGATCAGCATGAGAAGAGTGACATTGCAACCTTTAATTAAGCTTTTTCACTTACCGCTCTATACCAGGTGCGCATGCACCTCGGAATTACCTTAGGAATCCTTGAAAGCTTTAAAAACTAGGTATCCTTTGGTATTTCGTGCAAGAAAAGGAAGGAAAAGATATCTGCGCTCAGGAAACAAACGATCCTTAACGATTTTTTTTATTTCAATGGACAGTAGGTGGATTGTTGTCATAAGAACATAAATTGTTCAAGGTTCAAAATCAATGCAACTCAGGCTCCGTGGAGGCAGGTCCCTGTGATTTTGTGACATTTGTTTTAGTTTTTAAGGGCAAGTCCCAATATAAAATGATATGGAAACATCATTAAGGAATATAAAACGCTGGCGTCTCCGTACTATGATATAAATACGCTAGGACCTGTACAGCACGAGAGAAACAAGCTCGGGAACATTGGAGTAGCCTAGTGTTTTATATTTAATATAATATTTTTTGACAACTTTGCGCGATCATGTCCCTATCTGTCCTCTCATACAAACAAGGTGGTCAGCAAATCAGCGCGCACATTTTATAATTATATATATAGCTGTATATAGAATATATATATATATATATCGAGAGAGAGAGAGAGAGAGAGGGAGAGAGAGGGAGAGACTGAAGTCCATAAAAACACTTTGTCACGACAATGAATCAACGTTTCAACGCGCGCTTAAAAAAGTAAGGTAGTAAGGTAATGTTGTTTACTGCAGAAAACTACGACGGTTGAGAGCAAATCAAATTCTTGTGCAGATGTGTGTGGCCCTTTTGGGATCACTTTTGTTCTACACGTTTGGGATCCGCCAAGTGAAGGATCAGTCTGAGATTGAGACATGTAAAGCCATAGCAGCCATGCTTCACTATTTTGTATTGGCTTCAATGGTTTGGGCAAGTATCGAAGCGTACAATTTGTATCAAGACATCGTAAAGGTAATAATATATTTAAGTGTCTTTTAGCCTGTAACTCGTAAACTTATAGTTAATTTTCATCTTTACGAAAGCCTTCAGATGAGCGCGTTAAGCCCTTGCATGCGTTTTACATTGCAACACTGGCATGAACCTTTTCGTACAAGACGCATCTAATCCACGTACGTACTTCCCATTTGGCACTTCGGTCTCAGCTTCCATGCCTTATGTCTTAAATTCGATTTGTATTTTCAAAGAAAAACATTACTTGGTATAGATTCGTTGTGCAAGGAGAGGTTTTAGCCTTGATTCAGGGAAAATTTGTAGCTAAAGAGCAGATAAAAAAGATGGCGGGKGCTTTGTGTTGTTCATATATATCATAACAAGCTGGGGTATGGATACGGGAACTTAAGCGAGACTCAAAGTAGTGTGCACATTGCATGCATGTAGGTGATTTTTCTGTTTCTGCAGTGTCCCAGGTTAGGCATTCAGTGTGAATCCTATGAAGATTAGCCATCTGATTACGAGCCGTGTTTGCAAATAAATACCATGAATCTTGGCGCTCCCAATCCTTGACGAGCAGGAAAAATTAAACAAAATGACGGACAAGGTCATTGCAATGACAATTGTCATTTAGGCGAGGATTTAAATGCGTAACAAATATTTCTACTTTAAAGAATATGTTGTCCACATGAAGACCAGGAATTTACGTTCATCAATCAGATTATTTTTCATGGTTTTCTATTAATGGATGACATTTTAAAAGTGTCCGAACAAACTTGCCGCGAAAAATAGGAATTACTACAAACTCCACATCTATCGCTATTCTTAAGTCAGCCCCTGTCGATTTCCATGACGCTTAGGAAAGCCCAACATTTGTTATTAAGAATGTCGACTCGTTTTCAACAAAAAATAAATTATCGGCGAGAAAGTGACATATATAGTTAGTTTAACTTCAAGCTAGATGACCGATGCGAAACTCAAGTCGATTGAGCATGCGCTGGTTCTTTGGGTTCATTCTTTGCTCACCTAGTCAGATCAACTGGAGTTCTTATTTAGTAATTTCTTTGTTTGTTTTTCACCAGGTATTTGACACCTCAGTTTTGACGCAGAACGAATTCATGTGTAGAGTTTCACTTGTCGGATGGGGTTAGTAATAATAGATCATACTATGTACTGAGCTATTAATGCTTGATCGTATTAAACTCATAAAGCGTGCTGATTTATATTTAACAATTATTCGCCGAAGGCGAAGTGAATATTGGGGAATATTTACCGAGACGCGAGTCTTAGACCGGCGAGGTAAATATTCCCCAATCATTACTGAGCCTGAGGCAAATAATTGTTTTAGTACAAATAAAAAAACAGAAGATGAAAGGTATTTTTTTCGGTAACAGCAACAAAGCGGCTGGCCGCCATTTTGGATTTTCGCTCTAGGTGATTATCGTGTGAGAGTGTGAGTTTTTTGACCAATCAGCGCTAGAGATTTTCTATAACCACCTGCGTATTTTTACTAAATATATATATCTTCTACTAGTCGTTCCAGGAATTATCGTTGGTATTACAGTTGTAGCATCCCAAAACAGCTATGGATTCCATGTTCCTGAGACTGAAGATCACACTCTGTAAGATAAAGTTGCATGAAATAATAACAACAGAGTAGATATCGCAACAGAATCACTATCGCAACACAATCACTATCGCTACACAATCACTATCGCAACAAGAACTGAGTCACATAATTCAACAAGCGCGCGCATGCATTATATTTTGTCATTAATTAGTATCCAACTCGTCCTTTCTAATTTGTAATTAAAAAAAAAAAAAAATCAAAATATGCTATTGCTAACACTTCAAATTCTCTCATGTTTTGGGAGATACCTACGTGCTTTATAATTACTGTTATAAATGCCAGCGTTTTTTTTTTCTATTGCAATATGATTAAGGGTAAGTGAGTAAGGTTATACATGCCTTGTAGATCTCGTCCATATTGAGACAATTTTTACTAGCGCATATGTGTTTATTATAGCAAAAATCAACAATATATTTTGCGGCTTTTGCCTTGTTTCACAAACTTCATTATCAATCTCCAAAAAAGTTTTATTATTTGGCAGGTGTTGGATGAAGCAAGATGCGTTCTATTATGCACTATTGTTACCAGTCCTCCTCCTGGTTGTCTTRAACACCGTGTTCTTCGTGATAGTGATGCGTGAGATATTCAAGATGCCTCAAGCCCATGAAAAACGTTCAAAAATGGCTAATTTCCGGGCAACCATCTCTGTGTTCATTTTGCTCGGTCTAAACTGGATTTTTGCAGGATTTGCAGCAACATCGCCTACACTTGTGCTGCAGTACCTCTTTACCATCACCTGCTCGTTCCAGGGATTCGCGATCTTCGTTATGCACGGTATTTTAAAAAGGGAGTTCCAAGAAGCCTGGAAACTGTTCTCCACACATAACAGGGTCATGGAGATCATACGCAGTAGCCACCTGTCGCAGAAAACAACTTCTTCTTCGATATCCAGAAACTCAATGGTGCCTTCCAGTAGCTTGGCTTATAGCAACGCACGCCCAACCAAGTTCAACAGTCTTGGGGACGCAGATTCTGGAATCGATATCAAGCCAAAAGCCGAACAGATGTAACAAGTATGAAACTATCCACTATCCCTTAAGACCGTAATGATGGATGACATAACCTATAATGTTTCTTGACGTTAAGCTAAGTCAAGAAATACATTACTCAATCTAACTGGATTCTTAGCAGAACCATACTGACTGATATATTTGGGCCTAAACAAACTAAGCATAATAATTTTTCTCATTTTAGACCACGTGTCACTCTCTTGATAATAACATTATTTGTTTTAGTTGTACCCTTATTCATGTCTCTTCTCATGCGTAACCATTAAACAAAGAAATTATACTCTAGGGAATGACACGTTGCCTGATGAAATGCGAAAATATTAGATTAGGTTAATGCTTATTTTGACTGCTCCAGATCCAACATAGAATGATGCACATGTGTAGTATAGGCGGAAACGTTACATCCGACATAGTTCGATGATACTTGATTCGTTCAAATTAGGATTAGTATATAAATATTAACTCGATTCGAAGTTAATGCCGAATAAAAGCTGCTTAATTAGGGACTGTTATTACATCTGCAGTGTGTACAGGAAAGTCTTCCCTAACTCCTTACCAATGTCAGGTTTGTGGAGGGGAGAGAGATAACCTTTAAACAAGTGTGAAATACTTGTACGACTACATCTTGGAAATCCTCGATAGCATATGATATATCCTTATTTATTTTGTTTATTTCTTTGTTTTTGCTTGTTTTTGCTTGTCTTTATTGTTGTTTCTTTTTTACCCTTAGTTTTAATTTTACTAATTTTGAATTCTTTTTTCGTTTTTCCCCCTTATTTCTATCCTTTGCTTTGTTTTTCCTTTATTCTTCAGTCTTTAAAAAGATTTTAAGTCAATAGGAACCATGCAGTAGCTAGGTTTGCTGTTTGAATTTCTTTGCACACCACGTAACAGCCAAATAATTCGCATGGGATCACTGCAACAACAAGAGTACAGGAATGCTATTCTTCAAATGAATTGCGTTGTTGGATTTCTTGTAATATCTATACCCATTCCAACTTTTATTATTATGAATTAGATTCATTCCCCAAGACAAGATATTCCTGGTTATAACGTAGTATTAGCACCATTTGAATGTATATATTCTGCTTTTAATGATCTCTTGGAAAGTATTGTTCATTATGCAACATTTTACCTCTCTTGGGTAGAGAGAGAAAAGGGAGTTAGTATGGGAATATCAGACACAAACAAATTGTTATATTTGTAATTGTTTAAATGTATGCAAGAATCGTACCTACTAAACTAATAAGAGTGTCATGTTAAGTGGTTTCTTATCATTGTTTATGAGGGGCACTTGACCTAAGTACAAAGATGGTCATCCATCCTTCACTACACTGATATGGAAACTATCGTATTCAAGCAGAGTGACCTTCATGTGATGCTAATGATTAAATGAAATGCTGTTCTCAAGCAACTAGTGTTGTAAAAGACTATGGGTTAAATAACACGCCCAAAGTAGAAGGGCCCTTAGCATTATTGCACTCTAGGCCTGACATAGCTTTAGCATATACCTATATATATGTATATACACTTGATTGCAAAAAGGCTGTAGTATACAAGTATACATTTATGCATGTATCCAATGAGATGTAAGATATCAAATCAGATGCAGAACTTAAAAAAGTAACTTATTTGGTCTTATTTATCTTCTATTGTATCATAGACATTTAGTATTGCACAAAGTCAAGTTAAAAAAGTATTTTCCACAACATGTAGTGGCTAAGCAATCATATTTAAGCATGTTTTACGTTCTGCATCTCATTTGATATCTTGAATCTCATTAGATATATGTATAATTGTATACTACAACCTCTCTGCAATAAAGTGTATATATACATTGTAATCGTATAGTTGGAATTCGAGGGGGCGAAAACCTCCTTAAGTTCTCAATTAAATAACATGTACAAAGCTGAAAACATTCCGCAGTTGTGTTATTGGTTTCAGTTCGTTTAAGGGTACGAGGTTGTAAGATTATTTGTTTAAAGAATCTAACAATTATTAGAGTGCAATCAAACTACTCTTGAAAAAATGCTAAGATTATGATTCATGTTACCACTTACTATTTAATGGGTTTAGTATTGTGGGGTGCATGTTAAGCCATAGCCGCCATGTTGGTTGATAACGAAACATTCCTCATTAGCTTCTCTTAGGGGCGGATCCAGAGGAGGGGTGCAGGGGGTGCGTACCCCTCCCTGGTTCGACTTTGTGCCCCTACTTTGAAGATAACCAATGCAAAATCTTGTTCTCCCCTCTGATTCCAAGGGTGTACCCCTGGTTTAATTTTGTTGCAGCACCGCTAGATCAATTAACATGGCAGCTGTTTCGTTTGTATTTATATCTCAATTGACTTTGAATCGTGTGGTTGGAAATGTTTGTTTATTTGCACTCTCCGCTAAAGAAGCCGTCAAAAACAGCATGTTTACTAGTTATAACACACTAACCGATTTGAGTAAAAAATTATTTGGGTCGATATGTACTTTAGCACTAGTGTTTTATTTTGACCGAGCCCTTCATAATGACGTCCAAAAGTGTCAAATAAAGCTTGTCGATTTCAAGCCATAACCAAAGGTCTTTTCAATGGATGTGAAAAAAATGTGAATTTCCCAGTATTTTTGCTTTGAAATCAAACAGAGACAGGAATTATGTGGCGTGTACAAGGACGTACTTACGGAAAGACGGAATAACAGACGGTCGGAACTAGCCGGGTATTGGAGCTATCAAAAATCAACTTGATGTGTACGCGGTTAACAATTTTTTAGTATGATGCTCCGCTATAACATGTAATGACGACGAAATTAATTTAGTGTAGGGAATATAAGACTGAGAATCCAAACAGTTTTAAACCCGAAAAGCACTGGCTCGACTTTAATGCTGACTGGAATGTTAGCAAAAGAATAGGCATCCAAAGAAAAAGGAATCCTCACTTTCTTGAATAAAAGTCGCTCAAAAAAAAAAAAA